GTTCCGCGAACTTTTGTGAAGTTGCGTGAACTTCTGGGAAGTTGCGTGAACTTCTGGGAAGTTGCTTGAACTTCTGAGAGACGTTCCGGAACTTCTGGGAGAAATTCCTTGAACTTCTGGGAAGTTCCGTGAGCTTTTGGGAGAAGCTCCGTAAAATTCTGAGAGATGTTTCGTGTACTAATGGGAGAAGTTCCGTGAACTTCTGGGAAGTTGCGTGAACTTCTGAGAGACATTCCGTGAACTTCTGGGAGAAATTCCGTTAACTTCTGGGAGAAGTTCCGTGAGCTTTTGGGAGAAGCTCCGATAAATTCTGATAGATGTTTCATGAGCTAATGGGATAAGTTCCGTGAACTTCTGGGAAGTTCCGCGAACTTTTGTGAAGTTGCGTGAACTTCTGGGAAGTTGCGTGAACTTCTGGGAAGTTGCTTGAGCTTCTGAGAGACGTTCCGGAACTTCTGGGAGAAATTCCTTGAACTTCTGGGAAGTTCCGTGAGCTTTTGGGAGAAGCTCCGAGAAATTCTGAGAGATGTTTCATGAGCTAATGGGATAAGTTCCGTAAACTTCTGGGAAGTTCCGCGAACTTTTGTGAAGTTGCGTGAACTTCTGGGAAGTTGCGTGAACTTCTGGGAAGTTGCTTGAACTTCTGAGAGACGTTCCGGAACTTCTGGGAGAAATTCCTTGAACTTCTGGGAAGTTCCGTGAGCTTTTGGGAGAAGCTCCGTAAAATTCTGAGAGATGTTTCGTGTACTAATGGGAGAAGTTCCGTGAACTTCTGGGAAGTTGCGTGAACTTCTGAGAGACATTCCGTGAACTTCTGGGAGAAATTCCGTTAACTTCTGGGAGAAGTTCCGTGAGCTTTTGGGAGAAGCTCCGATAAATTCTGATAGATGTTTCATGAGCTAATGGGATAAGTTCCGTGAACTTCTGGGAAGTTCCGCGAACTTTTGGGAAGTTGCGTGAACTTCTGGGAAGTTGCGTGAACTTCTGGAAGAAGTTCCGTGAGCTTTTGGGAGAGGCTCCGTGAAATTCTGACAGATGTTTCGTGTACTAATGGGAGAAGTTCCGTGAACTTCTGGGAGAACTTTCGTGAACTTCTGGGGTGAAGTTCCGTGAAGTCCTGGGAAGTTTGGCCAACTTTTACATCTTTTACAATACATCATAAAAGATCTAAATTTTTTTCTTAAGCAAAATGCTGACATGTTCCATATTTATGTTTCTAAGCTTTAATAATTTGATCAAGATCTCAACATATTCTTGAACTTTTTCATACCACCTAGAAGAAAATGAATGTTTCTAAAATATTTCCATCTGGTAGCAATCATTCCAAAATATTCATTGGATTTTTTTTTATATGTTCCCTGACATTCTGCTACACACTCAATCTAATTCAGTAAAATCTTCATCAGCTGATTAGCTCGGTATTTAGTTTTGATAATATCTCTGCAAAATATCCTCAGCTAAACTTCTGGGGAAAGCTCTGTGAACTTCTATGGGAAGTTCCGTGAACTTCTGGGGGAAGTTCCGAGAACTTCTGGGGAAAGTTTTGTGTACTGCTGGAGGAAGTTCCGTGAACTTCTAGGGGATGTTCCGTAAACTACTGGGGGAACTTAGGGAAGAAGTTCCAAGAACATCTTGTTAACTTCTGGTGGAACTTCTTGGGGAAGTTCCGTGAAATTCTAGGGGGATATCCGTGAACTTCTGGGGGAAGTTCCGTGAACTTTTGAAGGAAGTTTTATGAACTTCTAAGAGAAGTACAGTGAACTTCTGGGGTTAGCTCCTCGAACTTCTGGGGAAAGTTCTGCGGGAAGATTTGAGGGAAGTTCCGTGAACTTCGGGGGAAGTTCCGTGATCTTGGGGGGAAGTTCCGTAAACTACTGGGAGAAGTTCCATGAACTTCTGAGGGAAGTTCCTTCAAATTCTGGGGGAAGTTCCGTGAACTTCTGGGGGAAGTCCCGTGAACTTCTGGGGGAAGTCCCGTGAACTTCTTGGAGAACTTAGGCAGGAAGTTCCATGAACTTCTGGGGGAAGTTCCGTCAAATTCTGGGGGAAGTTCCGTGAATTTCTGGGTGAAGTCCCGTGAACTTCTTGGGGAACTTAGGTAGGACCATGAACTTCTGGGGGAAGTTCCGTCAAATTCTGGGGGAAGTTCCGTCAACATCTGGGGGAAGTCCCGTGAACTTCTTGGGGAACTTAGGGAGGAAGATCCACAAACATCTTGATAACTTCTGGGGAAAGTATCGTGAACTTCTGGAGGAAGTTCCATGAACTTCTGCGGGATACTTCTGGGAAGGTCCGTGAACTTCTGAGAGGTTACTTGAGCTCCTGAGAAGTTTCATGAACTCCTAGAAAGTTTCGCCAACTTTTACGAAGTTCTTTGCACTAGAAAAATTTGTCCATAGCTTATTTAAACTACAATTTCCAAGTTTGCTGAACTTGTACGAGTTCCCTATATCTCATACAATGTTTACTTAAAATCAAATAAAGGTCCCATTATTTTTTAAGCATGATTTTGATATTCTGGGAAGTTCCCAAGTTCCATATTAATGTTTCCGAACTGCAATAATTTGACCAAGATCTCAAAACATTCTTGAACTTCTTCAATCTACCTAGAAGAACATGAACCGTTTCTAAAATATTTCCAGAACGTCTGATTGCAATGGTTTCAAAACAATCATTGTTTTTTTTTTTCAATTCTTGACAATCTGCTACACACTCAATCTAATTCGGTAAAATTTCATCAGCTGATCAGCTCGGTATTTTCTTTTGGTCTGCAAAATATCTATAAGGTTGCTGATTCTCGACGGTTATTTTTTTATTATAATTGAGTCTCAGTAAAATAAAATGCAGAATTAAAAGGCAATTGAAATGGCGGCAAAAGAAATTAATGCGAAAATCCCTGAACTTCTAAAAATTTCGCTGAACTTCTGCTGTATGCTTCTACAAATGTCGTTGAAGCAAACTGTCGAACTCTTACGAAGGTCCTTGAACTTAAACAAAGTTCCCTGCACTACTGTGCAATTTTTCGAAGTTTGACGAGTTGCTACGTAATTTGCTTAGTTGATTTTTTGCAAAGGACAGTGTTCCTTTAACATCAACGAAGTTCTTCAAACTTGTACAAAGCTTCCACTGATCATCGAGAAAAGTTTGCTCAAACGGTTCTTAAAAGATCTCTACACTTATATGAAGTTCACTGAACATCTACGAAGTCCGATCAGCTTCTACAAAGTTAGCTTAACTCCAATTAGGTGCGCTACTATAAATTTTGCAGAACTTCTACGCAGTTTCCTAGAAATAATGTTTTTTTTTCAAATTCTATCAAGTTCCTTGAAGATCGGCGGCAGCGGTGCACTCCTCTAGTTTTTGTCACTTCCATATTGTGGGGCATATCCATGCAAACAAATCATCCGAAGACACTATAAGCGTAAAATGCAAACGTTAGGTTCTAGAAGTAAAGTTCCTCATTTTGCCAAGTCCGACCAATAGTAGGCATAAGTCTGAAGTTATTTGTAAAACAAACTATTTACCATACCTGTCAACAGAAGCAAAGTTTTCTAATTTACGTAAAACAATATAACGTTAACCATTAGTGAAATGATATCGACATTGTCAGACTATTTACCACTTTCCGTGTCACTCTTATGAGCACCATAAAGTCCCGTTGATCTCATTATTTAGAATTAACGGTCAACATATCAAAACTAAGAGTACAATTTTACTCTGTGTATTCCAATAGAAACCTAATGATGTATTCAATTAAATCAATGTTTAATTACTAAGTACTATAGTTTGAGTTACTAAATACCTGTTCGAGGAACCGATACGCCAAACGACCCGCATTTAATTTTCAATCTCTGCTGACACTGCTGAGCCAACCCACCTAAGTACAGCATCACAGTCGAACAACCCATGCAAGTACGCATCACCATGGCAACACTGCACAATCAAAGAAGCCGTGATGCTCTAAAATAGAATTTACAAAGCAAACACCGAGTGAACTTTCCCCTCTCGGGAATAGTTGGAAAGTTTTCCCAAGTTAAACATCGTAACTTCATGGAGCACCAACTTCAACAAAAAGCACTAGCCATCCAACACCGACTCGCATTTACATTCGTTTCGCCTGCAATTTTCATCATTCGGCTGCATCAGCACCATCATTTCATTTGCGAGCTATGTTTCATAAATATGCACCCCGGAGCTGTGCAGATAACTTTTTGCCAGTGTTCCTTCGAAACTTGTTCCGGCTTGTATCGTCGACAGCCAGGAACATAAGCACTAGATCATATTTACTTATTTAGCCTTTCCAAACAAGAGGCAAAGATTGCAACCAAGAATTTTCCACCCGCTTACAAAGTTTCATTATCGGAAAATGTTCCCAACTCCTGTTTATTTTCCAGAAACGGTTATGATCGCTGTTTGCCTAAATTGGTTCGAATGGGTTCCGAGAACGGAAGACTCACACGGAAAAAAAAAGTTACAAACGGCTTAATCTGTTTTCCTCGACACGCTGGGCTTGCGTTTTGTGTCGGATGCTACTGCCATTGCGAAATGGAACCAATGGAGGGTAAGTAGGTATCTACGAGCAACGGAGGAGTGACGACGCGGTTGGAGGGTAGCTAAAGCTTCTTAGCTTAGGTTCGCAAGGCAGGCAGTCAGCAGCCAGCGTGCTGTCAAAGGAACAGAAGACACATAGTGACACTCGTTGGGGGTGGGGGGAATCCTTTCTCTTTTTTTCCAGCATCACTTCCATCTCTTATTCGTTATGGGAAAGTTTATTACGGTGACGGTCGATGCGAAACTTGGGACTTAATACCTTAATAACCTGGAAAGCGTTAGGGACGATGTCGCCGCCACACGTAGCGTTGTATGGCATGAAAGAATCTATTCTTGGATCAGCACCATTAACGGCTTCCTTCCATTAGGTTTGTCAAACGAAGGAATTACCGTCTACCAAGCAATTGCTGGACCTGTGTGGGAAAGTTCACGTATTTTGAGCTACTCACCTGAACATTCTTAAATTTATGCGAACAGATGATGCCATTGAATAGGCATTTGACGTGATTCCAGCAGCGCGAGGTGTCGCAAACTCCCTCCACGCTGCTGCCGGCTCCATTGCTGTGGTTGCCATTGTTCAGCGGCTCGAGTTCGTCCGGCGCTGGAAAAAAAGAAGCGAAGAAAGATTGGAATTAGAATATGCTTCAACACCCAACAACACCATTTCAAAACTGTTACAAAGTGTAAGTTCTTAGTTCAGGAGCGTTCTGGTTCGAACTTTTCCGCATCATGTTTGCTTTTTACACTCGGACCAGTGGCGTAGCTCAAGTGACGAGGGTTTCTGCTTCTCTTCACCTAATATGGTAATCGGGACATTATTCTTCAATCCATTAACAGTTCAAGCTTGGACATATGCGTGGCCCAAATATCCACTGCATAGCTTGTGTAGATTAGATTAATTTATACCAACCCCACAATACAGGCTAGCTACACCAGTTGCAGTTGGCTCATCAAGCCGGCTTTTACGGCGAGAGGTGAACAGTTATTGGCACGGAAATAATTTTCAATTAAAATGTTGCCGTTTTGAGGGTTCTCAACCGGTTGCGGCGCAACTCTGCACAGGAACCATCAAACTCCACACCGAAAGAAGCAGCCCATTATTGCTGCGTAGGTTCAGGAGATGAAACAGAATGTTTCATTGCCGAGCAGCAGAGCAGAGCGAAGTCGGAAGCCACACCAGCCCAGCAGCGGCTTTTTGGGGCAGAACAGAAAATATTTAATGAATAAGTGAACGGCAACGACGACAGCTGTTGTTGTTGTTGTTGCTGCCAACCTCCGATCCGGTGTAAGTTTGGAATTTGAGGTTGGCAAGCATCATTGGGTGAACTGAACTGAGAGTAGGTACCAAAGTATATATTTAGAAAAGGGTTGTGAGCTCTAAATTAGAAAATAGTCAATTTCGTAACCCAGCTGCCAACCGGTTTCCAAACCCAATAATCTACCGAGAGTTGTAAAGAACAATGACGATGGCGACGGTGCGGTGGTAAAGTTCGTGATGCTTTTACTCTTTGCATCGGTTGGAGCAGGTTGCAACAGAGCAATCGACATATTTTCATCAAAGTTGATTAAATGGTTAACATAATTCAGCGATAGTTAATTGCTAGTTGGACGCATGCAGCAAATCTTACAGCAACCAAAGTATTGTCCCAGCCAGTTCGGTATATCACTCCACGCCACAATCGGTCAGAAATTAAATACACTGGCACCTCCATTTACGAACCAAACCGGGGGTTCGTAATGGGTATTTTTGGAATCGGAGTGACGTGTAGGAACCGGAAATCGATGTTTGACGACATTTTGAAATCCAATATGTCGGTATCCGGTTCATGAAAAACTAGAAAATACTGTCAATACCCCACAATATTGGTATTTTTGGAATCAGGGTGACGTGCAGGAACTGTAAATCTATGTCTGACGCCATTTTGAAATCCAACATGGTGGCATCCGGGTACAGAAAAGCTGGAAAATAATGTTAAATACCCCACAATGTGGGTATTTTTGGAATCGGAGTGACATGTAGGAACCGGAAAAACATGCCTGATGCCATTTTGAAATCCAAGATGATGGTATCCGGTTCATGAAAAACTGGAAAATGCGGTCAATACCCCACAATATGGGTATTTTTGTAATCGAAGTGACGCGTAGGGACCGGAAATCGATGTTTTACGCTATTTTGAAATCCAAGATGGTGGCATCCGGTTCATTAAAAACAGTTTTTCATGAACCCAATACCGCCATCTTGGATTTCAAAATGGCGTCAGGCATGGATTTCCGGTTCCTACATGTCACTCTGATTCCAAAGATACCCATATTGTGTGGTATTTCACAGGTTTTCCCAGATTCCCAAAAACGCAAAAAAAAACTCGTTCCCAGGTAACAATTTGATGCTTAACAAGTGTTGGTTAATCGATTTCAATTCAGCCTTAGATTGAATAATTGCTGTTACTGCCCATACCCGCATGTCAGTCCCATTTGAAAAATCGCCATGTTGAGACAAAGACAACTTTGCACATTTATATAATTTGTTGTTTTCTCGTTGATTCTAATTATCAAGTACAGCACCACTGCTGAAATTAGTTGCATTACAACATAACAATATCATGTGTAACTAAAATATAATTAACACTTTTGTTTATCACGTGAAAATGAGCCGAAATCATATGGGATTGGTATGCGAGTAGTTTCGTTGACGAGCGCAAAAGTACTCGCATACCAGTCCCATTGCGCACTATCGCTTGAGTTGTTTACCTCAGACGTAAGAAGTGCATTTCGAAATTAGCATTGGATTAGTACTTTTCGCGTTGCTTGATAAATTTTCCAATAACATAAAAGCATTTTTTTTTTTTCCAAAATATTCGTTTTAGGTCATTCAGTTACCCTGACTTGAAGGTTTCAAGACGATCGTTTTTTCCCAACGTCTTCTGGCGTTCAACGAAACGTTCGCTCCAGTTGGGAACTACACACTTAGAAAAAATCATGTAAATTTAGGTGCTCTGAGACTGACATATACGAGCGTCAATTTTGACATAAAATTGAGTCATAATAAACGCAAAATTCAGCTCAATCAAACGTACTTTCGAACTTTTCAGTCTCGGAGCACTTAATTTTACATGACATGTTTGTTTACGTCTCATCTTTTCTGTCAAAGATGGATTCCGTCACGTGTAAAATTAGTTATTTCTAAGTGTGTATGCCAAGTCCAACGCAGTATTAGCGTGCCTGTGGCATGAAGCTGTAGCAGGCAGGTCAGAAAACGACATTATCAGCTGTTTTCATCGAGTCATCAACCATTTGGCCAATCTTCGGAAAATAACATTTTGGCTTGATAACTGCGCCGCTCAAAACAAAAATTGGGGACTATTTCTTCATTTGATATTGTTGGTCAACTCCCCATCAATTCAGACGAACGAAATAGTCCTCAAATTTTTTGAGGCTGGCCATACTTTCATGGCGGCAGATTCTTTTCACGCTGCTGTGGAGAAAGTTATGCGCCAAACTCCGCCAGTTTCCTATCCAGAGTTTGTCAATGTCGTTGTACAAGTATCGAAGCATTGGATATGCAAGTAACTGATTTTTTTCAATCTACCTTCATCGTCAGTCAAAACACCCTGAACCAATGTAAGAAGCGGCCATACATTGACAAAATCAGGCGGATCGTAATTCAAAAGAGCAGCTTGGGATTGCAGTACAGCGGCTCTGTTACAGGCGACAGAGAACTCCAAAGCTGTTCTTTGTTTTCCAAGAAAATGCTTAAGCTGGCCACCGCTGAAGGATTTATTTTGGAAAACTCTTTAAAAATCCAAGAAAATCCTGCTGGACTAGATGCCTCTCGTAAGGACACGTTCCTTAAAGTAATGTTGCATCTCATCGGAGAGGAGCAAAAGCTGTTATGGGAACGTTTACCCGTTAAGGCAAATTAAGCATAGTTAAGTGAAATTTGATCAAATATATGCACTTTATACTAACTCGGAATATTTTTTTTATAGTTCATTAACAATAAAAAAATATTAAAATCACGATACGTGACTGTGCAATCCTTAACAAATGAAAATTTACTTCAATTTATTTTGATGTGACAAATGGGACAGTTATGCGGGTACTTTCCTAGTTTGGTATTTTTTTACGTTTTGCCCATATAAAGATGTAATTTTCAGTGTGATTTCTTAAATATCAATGAAAATGAAAATAAACACCTTTCTCAAGGTTAACTCAAAAATGATGAAAATTCATATGGGACAGTTATGCGAGTATCGGCAGTGTACATAGACCACGTTAACATTTGTCCAGCTTTTAAACATCTAAATCTGGTGAATTAAATCAGCCAAAAGCTTAACAGTAATAAACATTATAAGCTTTTTAAGGAATTAAATAACAGTCTTTTCCAACCCTTGTTCAGCCTTCTAGTTTTATTTCAAAACTTATAATAGGGGACCGCTTCATATCTTATCTTATGCATTTATATGGAACTGCTTTAACTTGTTGCTGACTAATTGGATTAACATATTTCTATTGTTAACATAAGTCTAAAAATTACCTTTGCATTTCAGGATTCGAACCCGCAGTCGCTGATTCATAGGCGTCAACAATACCTACTGGACCATTTAGGCATATTCGTGGTAAAAGGTTTGATCATTAACTTAAAGCACGTAAAATTTAAGTTGAATAACATCAACTGGAAGAGTATTATACAGCAATGCAGAATTGTAAGCAACAACTCGTGACAGTTAAACATTCCTCTCATTTTCAAGTGTAGTTAACACAATGTGGACAGAAGTGCGTGATTTATTTCGATGGTCATTTGGATGCTAATTTAGTGCCATAATTGAGTAATATTTTTGGAATGCGGTCTGAAACTTCAGTGCAATATAACAGACAAAATACAGGATTATAAATGTATACTTCCAACGTCGTCGCAGCCTACATCTACCTGGAGCTATTCCAAAAATTTCCTGTTTCTTGTCTCAACTGCTGCCACTGTCTGTAATTAGAAAGGCAGGCAGTGAATTTAGTAGAACTAAAATGCCGGACATGCAACGAGTGACACAGACACTGACGAAATTTAACAAATCAAGCTATCAAAATATGTGTTACGCATTGCTGATTTGTGGAGTTGTGTTAAGCTTAAATAAGGTTTGTTCAAGCTTTGGATCAGCTAACCTATTGAGGTTGGATTATGGGGATACAATTTGCTTCATGCACTACTAACCAACTATATATTCAGCCTGATGTTAATCAGCTTTGTACACCTTGAATCAACCAATAATCAGCTTCTGTTCTTAATGTTCAGCTTGAATTGTTACTTGGGTTATTTGGAATTTACATCGTTAAAAAAAAACTCGTTGTTTGGGATTTACTTCGTAAAAAAGAACCTCGTTATTTGGGATTTACTTCGCAAAAAGAGGGACGTAAATTGAATACTGCTTAAAAAAAGACTTCTGTTTCGGATCTCAAACTATTTTTTTTAAGCAGCTTTTTGTTGTTGCAGCTCAAAACTGAAATATAATGTTTATTTAAATTTCATCGTTACCTTTTGTTTCACATTACATACATGAATAGTTTTCACTCCTAGCTATCGCTATTCAAGCACTTTCTTTCACTCAA